TTTTGGATAACGACGTTAATTTCAGCATCCCTTGTTGCTCGCCTCTCACCCGCCATGCTGCAGCTGGCTCGGTTACGTGTGCGTGTGCGTTTGTGTGTCTGCGTGTGCGCGCAAGGAATTTCCCCTTCCAAAGGCACGAGGCAGAGAAGCCGAGCGCGGGGGCGCTCGCTCGCTGGGGGGATTCCCCCTTCGCTGCTCTCGGAACGTTCGGGATTGTTCCGAATGACGTCACAGCGGGGAGGCTCGCGGGCTGGCCAGCCTTCAGTCAAAGCGTCGCCTCACAAGAGAAAACAGGGAGGGGTTCTGTTTAGGAGCACGGGAGAGGGAGGAGGGGTGTCCACGAAACTGTTCCTTTCGGGCCCCCTTGAAACTGCCGCGCATTCTCGCTGATTACTCTCTGAGGTGTTCCCCCCTCGCAGAAGCCGGACCCTTCCACCTGCGCACGCGGATACATCACAACGTCGTAGACATCGGGTTCGCGCGCATTCGATCTTTCTCTCCCCCTCCCGCCCTCCTTACCACTTTAGCCGAGTCTCTCGTTCGTGGCGGTGATAGTGCCGACGGCAATAATGGTGGCGGCGGCGGTTGGTGAATTCTCGCGAGATTTGGGCGCAGGGCATCACTGCTGCGGCTCGGAGCGGCGCCATTTTGGGACGGACTGACTGACTGGAGCGAGGAGTTTGTGCGCGCGGCGGGGGAGAAGCGGCGGCAAAAAGGAGCTTTCAAAATTCGGGACCCCGTTTCAGTCGTGAGCTTTGCCGGGACTTGGCTGGCAGGTTAGAGCCGTGTTGCTGCCTCATTCGTCGGGCAGGCCAGGGGAAGAAGGGGTGGAGGAAACAATCCTTGTGTAGAAGGTGGTGTGGTGGGGGGGAGGAAGAGACTGAAAGCTGTGGGGGGAAGGCACGTCTCTGGGGAAGGAGGAAGAGCAGCTGGGATCCAGGGTCTCTTAAATGGGAAGAATCGTCCGCTTCAGAGCAGCTCCCTCAATTAGTCGTCGTCGTCTCCACTCCTTCGACTGCTGAAGTCTAGAGCTTGTGGCCTCTGCTCCTCCTCTCCCTTCACTCCTTTAAATAAATAAATAACTAAAGGCACAGGCTGTCTCTCCTCCCCCCCACCTCATCCTTGTCCAGTAAAAGCCGTTAGAGAAACCTTTCTCTCTAGAGAGGAATAAGAGAAAATGCCACCATTTCTATTTAGCATAATTACTATGGTGCGGGGGGAAATGGCAGAAGCAGAGAACTCGTCCCCGGGTTTACCTGACTAGAAGATGTGGGAGAGGGAAGGAAGAAGAGTGAAACCTTAGCAGCTCTCTCAGTAGGTAGATATGGACGACCACGAGTTTGTTTCCTCTGCCTGTTTTCCAGGATTTTTCCCTTCTCGCTTTCGGAGCCCAAGCGTCAGTATGACTTGTAGCCTTGCATCGATCCCCTTGCATGTTTACTGGGAAGTGAGCCTCTCGCTGGTCAGTGGGGCTTACTCCCAGGTAAGCATGCGGCGGATGGTAGCCAGAACTCAGTGTTTGCGGAGAGCTTTGTCTGGCTTATTATCGCGTGTCTATACAAAATTGAGCAAAGCAACTTGCTTGAGAGTTTCATTTTTCCGGTTTTCCTCAGTTTTGCCTCCCATGTCACTATTCCTACATCAACATCTTTCACCCAAGAATAGGAGGTTCTCTACAAATCTTCTTATTCGTGGTTCATCTTGGTTTTGTTTATGGTTTTGGGAGAGTGTTAATAAAGCAGAAATTTCCAAAATGCCAAAAAGAGGAAAGGTAATTGTTCTATATCTTTTCTCTCTTCCCCACACCTCCCCCACTTTTAGGTGATTTGGATTCTGAACGTGAGTCTGGATATTTTTCAACGTGTTGCTTCAGTTTATGAAGGAAAACTAGATGGATGTTGACCTCTGCTTCAGTCGAAGGAAAACCACTGACTAAAAATCGAACTGGGATTATAACTTGTTCAGTCACTTTTCCATACAGACATTGCTGAAGTACAGAATCCCATTTGGGATGTTCTTGAACGTTTGATTTTTTTTTCTCTCTCTCTCCCTTCCCTCATTTAAATTCAAGACATCATCTTGGACTAATTTTGCCTCTATGGAATGGATAATTATATAAAATTCTTAGGCTCTGCATGTTGTTTTCAAAACGTATTTTGTTCAGAAGTTTCAGGCATAACTGAAATTAACTTGTTTTAAACACCCAAGTCTAGAAGTTTACTTTAAATGTAGCTTTTGAGCCTTCTAATCTTGGTTCACAGCAAGCGTTATTTCATTTGTTAAGAAACCTGAGTTGAAACCTGTTTTCTAAATGAAGAGATTAAGAGCTTTCTTTTTCATTTGCATTTTTTAGTATTTTTTGATATGGTGTAAAGCAGCAATATGGGAATATTGAGATAGCTGCTGCATGCAGATGCCTAAATTGACTCTAAGAAATGTACTTCATTTCAGATGCAGAATTTGACTTTTCAGTTCTGCTCTTTGTATCATAAAAGGTGTATTTATTTCATCTGGAACTGATGTTCATGATAGTCAGATATATATGGAATAGCAAACTGAAGAAATTTCAAAAGATAAGACAAGCTGTCAAAATCAGACTTGTCTGACTTTTGGAAATATTTTTTTGGTATTCTTAAATGTGAAGAATGGGTAGCTGATTTCCAGCTGTCAGCCCTGTATTACATAACTACGGATGTAGTATCTTTTAGGAACTCAGGATATTATTTGCAAGGGAAGCAAACTGGAAGACGCAAATCACGGACAATTAATGCCAATCTGTGCAGTTCTCTTGGATTTTGTAAGTATTGTATAAACTTCCACTGATTCAAATATTTATGTGGTGTAGGCTTTGAAGTTGTTCAGTTTATGTTAGAAAGAAATGGAGTTACAGTTAACAGTTGATAATTTGTTTTAAACATTATAAGTGTTAGTGTTAACTTGAATTCTACAGAGATTTAATGTGGCTGTGTGTGTCAGCATTTAGCAGAACTTAGATTATGCTTAGCATCTGAGCCATAGTAATGTGCAAAAGTAAAGGAACTAATTTTGGCCAGATTCAGATACTATGATCCTGAAATACACTGATTATTGGAGTGAGATCATGCTTAGTTACTTGTGTCTTGGTGGCATTATCATGGACATCCTGGCTTATTAAACCAATGGTATCCGAACTGGCTTAACAAACCAGGATGTTAGTAGTGAAGCTGAGTATGTGAGAGGTATTGTGCACTCTCACAAAGCTTTTCCACTCTACTCGACTGTGACATCTGAACCTGACCATTAAATTTGCTGGGGACTTAGTTCTGTTCAGTGTCTTGTGTGCATGTAGTGGTAAACTCTGAGGTGTAGTAGTTCTAGATAGGAATATTATATGGACATTTTCAGGTAGTCCCTAATCACTGGAAACAATTTTAGATTTTTGGAAAGGAACCCTGATTCCGTTCAGGGTTGTAGCTAATATCATTGTTTGCATGCAAGAGATTAACTGCATTATGTTTCCCCTAGTGGTACAGATGTGTTAAGCTTTGCCCCAGTTGCTTCTAAATCATACTTTAAGCCTTTTTATACAACTTTTCAGTGCACTTATGCAGCAAAGTGTGCTTCAGATAAGGAATGCTGTACCCCCACCTTTCCATGAAAATGTGAACCTGAATTGTGTTGGTGGGGGATGGGGTTTCCAGTGTGTTTTATAGTAAAGTTAATGGCTGATAGTACCCTGGACTGAGGGCAAGATATGGCTTTCTGCCTGCTTTTCAGACTCTCTGTTGATAGACCTGGATGCTTAGCTGATTCTCAGAACTTCCTATAAAATAGTTGGCTTTTTAAAAGAAGATTAGAATCAGAACAGTAGACTAAATAACTCCTTCTAAGTTTGCCTTACTCTGTATTGAAAAGTAAAATTCAGATGGATTTATTAGGCTATTGGGTGTACTTGATTTATAATTTTATTAAACTGTGGGTTTTATCCATCCTGGCAGGTTTATTTTCCACAGAATCCAGTGCTGCCTCAAAGACTATGTAAAATGGACAAAACAACCTAGTCCAGAAGTAAGTGGCAGTTATTTGAGTTGCTACAGATTGTTCATGTTCATAAAGATTATATTTGAAGCAATTAACTTCAACATCTATATCTATATATATGCACACAATTATTTTCTTGATCTTAAATTTGATTGTTTAAAGGGACTTGAAGTTAAAGTGAAGCCTAGCGAGCAAGTTTTCTTTAGTAAATAAACAGTAGATTTGATGATGTTAATATTTTGAACTGGATTACTTACCTTCTAAAAGTTCTGTTTATATTTAACTTCCTAGCATTTTGAGTCAGATCTGGCTTTTTCTTAGTGTGCTTGCTCCTTTGGCAGTGAATGTTTTACTCTCCTTGTATGCTAGTTAAGTAACACTTTCTCCCCATTATTGCTTTTAAAGGACCCACACCTTGTCTAGAGGATCTTTTGGACTGGGGTCCAAATGTCATAACAGCAATAGCTTTTTCTTCCTTTTTTGTTGGCTTAACACTTAGACATAGTGAAACGATTAGCAAGAATTACAGATCATGAAGGGATGTAAATTATACACCAAGAGAAAGGGAGTGTCAAAATTTTAATTGCATCTTCAAGTAGGACCAGCCAGATAGATTGAGGGCCAGAATCCAAGTAGGCATACATGTAATTTTCCCTTTGAAAGAATATTAAAAGTATGCCTCAAAATTCCAACTACTCATTATGTTTTCAAGTTTAAGAAGCAGTTTGGAGATTCTCAGGAGAATGATCATAAGAAAAGGCTAATATTGAAACCATATTGTTGCATCTTATGATGACAAATCCTCTTAGAATTTTCTAACTAAAAATGGTGGTACATGACTTCCTTAATTAGCAGTCTTAGAATCTGTAAAAAGTACTTTCCTTTGCCTTAGCACTGTCTTCAAAAGTGATAGCGTGTTCTGTATTGGAGGTTTATATTCAGTTTCTTTTTAACCTGAATTGAATACACTGGTATCTGGTTGATCACCTGGGCACCTTAGTTATGCAGCTTCTAATGTTTCATGACACTGTAAAAAGTATTTCACAAATGTTTAGTACTGTAAATATGCAGTATTGAGTGATGTATTAAACTAAAAAATGTGGATCTATGAATTGGGGCTAAGTATTTTAAAAATGTGATGTGCTGCTGCTGTTCTGGAAAAAAAACCCCAGTGGTCTAACTTCCTGTAGTTACAGTGCATGTTCAGTGCTGTAATCTATTATGTTGGAGTTGTTTTGCCTCTTTCTTAATACTTGTTTCCTAATAGGCGGGGCAAGACTTGAGAATAGGCTAGTGTTTCTGAATCTTGTAGTCCCTCTAAAACCAAAAACATAATCTTTCCTATGGAGGAATGTGCAGCTACCTTGTTGTTGACAATGGAATAGGACATGAACAGGAAAAAAATGGCTAGAAACTGAATTTTTCCTTTCAGTTATGTGTTCTGGTTGAGGGGGCCTGATATGCCATGGAGGTGCAGTGAGGAAAAAAAATTAAAGTTCTTTGCTAAGAGTGATTCGGTTCATCTAGTTCTTATTTCTTACTTTCTTTGTTATGTTTCTATCCTGCCTTTTCCTGCAAGTAACCTAGAAGAATTTACATAATCTTCTCCATTTTGTCTGCACAACCACCCTGTGAGGTGAATTAGACTGAGAGTCAGTGGCTGGCCCACAGTCATCTAGTGAGCTTCATGGTTGAGTGGAACTAGAACTTAGATCTTCCAAATCCTGTTACAACGCTGTAACCATTACATTACCCTGCTGTTTTTGTTGTGGGAAGAAAACTTAAAAATGCTTGGGATCCATCCTCTGACATTTTGTGCCTAGAGCTTAAGAACATACTCTGTAGTTGCCCTTCACATTTGTAAAGTGATTGATTGATTGATTGCACTTGCATGATGCACCCCCATAGCCATGAGACTCCCTGTGCAGCTTACATAACATTGCATTACATTGAACAACATTAAAACAATATAAACAGTAAATAATCCATCGATAACAGTAAAAATGATTTAAAAAACCAGCATTCACATAATTAAAATACCAATATAATCAATTTTTAAAAGTTTTATTAATAAAAGTGTCTGGCAACTAATTTTTTTAACATGGCAGGGGCATCAGTAAAACTAATAAAATAATAATAAAACCGGTTCTACTTACTAACCAAAACAATTACAGAAAATAAAAGTTTTCAATTGATGTCTGAATGTGAAAAGAGAAGACGCCTGGTGTATCTCAGTTGGAAAGTTCCACAGATGGGACAGTAATCCCCTTGTCCTTGGCATCTTCCCCTTCATTGGGGGAGGAATTCAGAGGAGGGCCTCTGATGAAGGTCTCAGTGATCTGGCTGGGACATAGGGAGATAGGTGTTCCCTCAGATATGCTGGTCTTGTTTAGGGATTTATATGTTACTGTAAGCACTTTGAATTGTAAGCACTGGACGGCAACTGACAGCCAGTGTAGTATGCGAAAGACTGGCATGATGTGCTTGTGAAAGCCATCTTTAACAGGCATGCTACCCAATTTAGGAATAATTGCAGTGTCTGGATGGTTTTCAAAAGGAGCCCCAGATAGAGCACATTACAGTAATCCAGGCAGGAGGTTACTAGTTCATGGGTAACAATATAGCAAGACTTCACTCATCTAAGTGGGGATGCAGCTGATGAACTAGCCTATGCTGGTAAAAAGTGCCCCTGGCTACCCAGTCTACCTGAGAAACAGGTGGCCACTTGGGTTCCAAGAGCACCCCAAGGCTGCAAATCTTGTCCTTTAGGTTTTGCACAATCTTGTCCAGAACAGGTTGAAAATTCCCCAGTTCGACAGATGAACAATACCTCCATCTTCCTATGAACAATACCTCCATCTTGCCTGGATTGAGTTTCAGTTTATTGGCCCCCATCCAGTCCATCACCAAGCTCAGGCACTGGTTAAGAACAATCACTGCTGCACCTGGATTGGATGAAAATGTGAGGTGCATGTCATCAGCCCAGTGATGACACTTCAGCCCAGACCTCTGAATGGCCTCTCCCAGTGGTTTCACATAGATGCTGAAAAGCATGAGGGATGAAATAGAGCCTTCCATGGCGCAAATGCCATGATGTAGAGCAGTAGTCCCCCAGCACCACCATCTGGAGATGGTTGGCCAGATAGGAGCAGAACCACTGTAAGATGGTGCCCCCAACTCCTAATCTGGCCAAACTTTCCAGAAGGTTACCATAGAAGGAATCAAAAGCTGCTGAGATCTAGGGAATCTACAGGGTCACATTCCCCCAGGCTCTCTCCCAGCAGGGTGACCAAGGTAGTTTCTTTTCCAAATGCAGGCCTGAAGCCTAATTGAAATGGATCCAGATAATCCGTTTCCTCCAGGAGAGCTTGGAGCTGGCCACTGCCCTTGCCCAAATAGAGGATGTTGGCTATAGGCCTGAAATTTATATCGGTTGGGTATAGGTTTTTCAGGAGTCATGCAATCACAGTAGATTTTAAAGTGAGTGGCACCACTGCCTTTAAGAGAGGCATTGGCAATGAGTACCCTCTTTCAATTTTTCAATCAGCCAAGATGGGCAAGGGTCAAGCAAGCAGGTCATAGGTCAGACAGAACCAAGCACCCTGTCCTCAAGCATCTCAGGCCACAGTAGTTGAAACTCAACTAGTAGAATGGAACCAGATGGTGCTCTGGATACCTCTGCCAATAGAACTGGGATAACTGGATCTGAGTGCAAATTTCAGGCCTGAATTGAACCTTCAAGTGTTCAGTCAGATCTGCTTTTGGGCCAGGATGTAAAAGGGCCTGAACAATTGGAAAAGCTCTGCTCAACACTACTGTGACGACACAATGTTGGTGGCAGTAAAGTGTTTCCTCGCCGCTTTCACTGCTACAGAATAGGCTTGATAAAGAGTACTAAGCAATGTTCAGTTGGATTCATTTTGAGTTCTTCACCTAAGCATTAGTTGTCTTCCCTCTTGCTTCATCACCTTAAGCTCCACATTTACCAAGGAACCAGTTGGGCTCTGTGGGGAAAAGAGGGTATTTGGAAGTGATTTTGTCAACTGCCTGGGTCATCTCCATATTCTACAGGGTGACCTGGGCTTTGACAGGGGTGTTTACCATGCCAGTTGGAAAATGGAATATTTCATCAGCCTCCAGCTAGATGTTGTAAAATCTTGTTGTTAGTGTTTAAGCAGTTCCTGTCTTTCTGATCTTATGGCAGTATAAGCATAATAACTAATACTCCACATCATGTGTTTGTTGACACATCTTTTCTATTTGCATATGCTGCAGACTATTTCATCTCTTATTTTCAGTATGAAAGCTGATAATACAGTGGCTAAAGGTGTGAGCTGGGAAGTCCCCAGATCAAATCTTTTCTTAGTCATGAACTCACTAGATGGTGGTAGTCAAGTTATGTCATTCTAGATGTCTTGGAATTGAAGATCATTCTAATTTGCTTTACAAGATTGTTAAAAAGATTGCTGAAAATATGTCCTACACTTAAGAAATTTCAAGAGCTCAGTACTTAAATTTGTTTATAATACTTTGTTATTTTTGTTTGTATTAGATTTGTACTTCACCTTTCTTCCAAGGAACAGAGGGCAGTATGGGCAGTGTCACCCATATTATTTTGATAATATCACAATGGGCTGCACCCAGTAATCTTTATTACTGTATGGGGAATTTAAATTATAAGATTTTATTTGGTAACCATCATACTCTTGCCTCATGTTTATGTAGGGCAGTATTATGGAGGCTGTTTCTTGTCTCCCTTCTAAACGTAACAACATTAGTTTTTAAGACCTAAAGGGACAACAGCAGCTATATATGCAGCCTTTATAGCAGTCATGTACGAACACGATATTTTTTTTTCCGATTTATATCCTGCCTTTTTCCTACAAAGGGCTCAAGGCAGCTTACATCTCCTCCTCCATCTTATCCTTACAATAACAACCCTGTGAGGTAGGTTGGGCTGAGAGTCTGTGACTGGCCCAAAGTCACCCAGTTGGCTGCATGGCTGAGCGGGGGCTAGAACCTGGATC